AACGCTACAACTCGACCTCGATCAATCAACAAACTGATATCACTTTCTATCATTGAACAACTATCAATCCCAATTAACCAACATTTCTGGACCGAATATGGAAAGCGTAATTGAAAAAAAAAGACATAAAGTTACTTTCCGGTTGGTGGACGTTGAAATTCATGTCGAATAAAAGTAATGCAATGTGATTAACAGGAAGGAAGTAGGGAAAATACCTTAAGGAATAGACAGGCCTTTGATTTGATAATTGTTGTCATAAAAATGTCGCCTGAAACTAATGAACATTTTTACTGGAATTGTTTCTGATGGACAGACAGATAAAAACGTATACGAATGAATGTAATGCGTGAAATTGGTACATCACAACCATCACAGTGTCACATTAATTTAATTCAACGAATAAATCCAACAATTACCGCCCCTTTCCTCTCTTTTATCCCTCTAATTATTTCATAATAATACAAAGCATACTGATTGTAATTTTGTCATAATTATCTGTTTGTAATCAGAATTTCCTTAACGATGATAATTATGCAAGCAATTATGCATACTGCCTGAAGTCTCTGCTACATTTAAAGCCTTAAACTGATTTATCTTCAGTTTGTATGAACTAAACTTTGTCATTTAATTTTTTGAAATTTTGACGATAAAAATAAAATTTAATAGTAATTTATATGGCAGATTGCTACAAACTTTCCTTGTAGAATTGGTAATTTTGAATTTAACAAAATGGAAGAGTGAAAAGAAAGCTGTTAAGCCTCAAAGTTAACAAATAATATTTTATCTTTATTTTGTTTACTCTTCTGATTTTACTTCATGCACTTTTCTTCCACTTTATTTAAATCTATCTTTTTAATTAATTGCAAAATATGGAGGGCACTGTCTAATAACACTTATGTCCATACAAATTAAAAAGAATGGTTTTTGTTGTGAAGCATTTGCGTAATGTAAGGAGTTCTTCACATAGCATATGATCATCTATTCTGAAGTACCAATTAAGGATATTTTTTATTTATACAGTAGCTGTGATATTTGCATAAAATATAATAACAATTAAGGATGGATAACTATTTCTGCTCCTCACAGAAAGTTGAACATATTTCCTTGAAAAGGTCATTACCGCTCAAGTTATCTTGTTTAAGGCCTTGAAGGATTTATCAAATTTATAGGAGTAGTAAAATATTTTTGCTGTATTCTTTCAGGTTTAATTAAAACGTTTGAAAAAGCTGCAAGGAAAAAAGATTAAATATGGTGGAAGCTAAACTGAGAGAGAGAAAAGGGGAGAGGAAAAGAGAGAGAGAGAGAGAGAGAGAGGCATAGGAGGCAAAGTTAACGAACTCAGCGCTTAGTTGTAGATAAAGTCATTGATACAGAAGAACGAGATTTAGGAAAAAGGATGGATTGTTTGAACTTCAAGCAAAGCGTACTTTGAACGATTAAAGGGGTTTCCTTTGTCTTAAAACATTGGGGAAAGAAACCTTTGCTTTGTATGTTAGATACATTAGCCAACTAACAGTGGGATGGATCCATCACTGAGTTTCCGCAATGAACTAATTGAAAGTCACCGCAGGCGGTAAGTGTGACAAACAGTGTGACAGTGAGATGTGCGCTCTGTTTCAGGTGAAACAAAAGAAGATCGGTACCACAAATACAAAAAAAAAAACCAGAAAAAAACAAAAAATAGGGAAGGAAACAGGAAAGAAAGGGTAAGAGGAAATGAAAACAGAATGAAATAAGCGTAAATACCATCATTTTAATCATCCTCAATTATATCGATTTATCGCTGTTCTGAAAACTCCCAGTTAATTACTCTACAAAATGATACTGAAGGCTTCCTTCATTCGAGAGGTCATCTTGACAAGGTGTTAGCAGCAATTGTGAGACAATGTCATTGCAATTCACTAAAATAATTCCACTATCTTAAATTCAGCATCAAATTGTCCCATGAAAGTATATCGAATTGAACTATTTAGATCAGAGTTAATTTGTTAATTAATTTCTAAATAATTTTTAGTTATTTGTCTCCCAACATGTTATTTACTGTCTTCATCGCTATTCCGCATTGCAAAAGTCCATTATTTAGAATTACTTGAGGTCTTGATGACGTCCACATCACCTTGCTGATCCTTTAATCGCCTCGATTAAATGGTGTTTGCCAACAATCATTTCCCTATCACCAATATCGATTATGAAGCAAAATGACCATTTGAATAAACAAGAATTTCCCCCTTCTCTTTTTTGTCCACCTCCATATAACACGTTGGGAACGATTTCTAATCGGACAATTAAATTCATTTTGAGCTTTGATTTAGCAAGACCATATGAATGGATCAATGTGTATCACCGAATGATAAGCCTGACATGTAAAGTCATAGTTTCTGTTTGGAACAAACACAGATAATAGAAAATGAGTAGCACGCTAAATCTTTAACCTTATTCCCCACAACTTATTCCTTGATAATGAAATGAAATGGATAATTTCCTAATGAATAATTTGGCAATGAATGATTTTCTGCATAAAGCATAAGATGCATATTTGTACTAAGACTGCCAATCAAAGCCTGCGAGATAAAGTCTAAGGCTATTTAAACTGTGAAGGAAAAATAAACAAACCTTTTATCATTCACAATAAAAGGAACAATACTTAACAACAAATTTTGTATAAACAAAACTTACAAACTGCATAAATATAAAAGCATAGGAAAATCATATTTTTTAATAATAATAATATCGCCTTAATTTTAAATCTTTAATAATTAATATATTCATATTTCTGGC